ATCCAAAGAAAGTGTAATGGTGACTTTTACAGTTGCCTTTAATTTGAAGAGTTGCTCAGCGCCTCACAGATGATGTATGTGTTCTGATGCCCAAGTGTGTGGGTTTGTGAGGCTCTCCAAAGATACCCAAAGTTTTTCTTGCACTGTAGGTGCCCACCGCCAAATATCCCCTTTTAATTTTTTAGTATGATGCAAAGCTCCCTTATAAAAGTGAATAATTGCCACTCGTACCAACTTACTGACACCTAACACTGATCTCAACCTGGATGGTGTGAGAGTGTGCTTGCACACGGTAACAGCAAGCATAGATGTCAGAGAACAAGACAATAACAAGACCTTTTCCCTGTTTGTCTGTAGGATTTTTGACAGTTTTGCACTTGGGGTCATTTGGCAGAGAGGCAGGATCAGGCTTTGGGACCTCTCATTGATCGTGTCAATGACTCCATGGAAAAGGAAAAGCAAAAACAATATAAGGCTTCCCGCCAAAGTCGGCAAGCTCACATCAGCCAGCGAGGGAAAGACTTTGTGTGTAGCGGTGTGACTGTGTAAATACTTAATTAGTCCAACATGTGACTCGTCCTGCCTTTCACAGCACCGCATGTCCGTGACTGACAGCACAACCAAATCTTGAGGTAACCAAGAGCAGGGGAGGTCAAAATGGAGGGAGGGGGGGAGAAGAGTAAGCAAAGGGGGAGCTTCGGTGTGTCCACATGTCTCACGCGATCTGGAATCACCATCGCACGTCACATGACTCTGGCTTCCATTCAGCTTGTCCTGCGTCACCTTGCAAGAATGCAACTTATCCACCAACTTGGAAGCAAAACTGTGTGATAATTTGATACTGATAAAAATCTGCTGTCATGACAGTGAAGGACAAAATGATGGGCTTAACTTTCAAAGTGAAAATTTATATGGGACCACAGCTGAACAGCAGAATCTGCCTGTCAGTCACAGTAAAGCACTGAGTCTCCTGGGCTCTTGAAGAGGAAGTTTATCTTCATGAAGATTTTCCGTCACATTACAGAAAATTACAGCATTTGTATTATGCTGTAGCACGTCTTTGTGCTTCTTGCAGCTACTCTACTCTTCACATGTTTGTTTGATTAGCCATTTTTTGCATACCAGCACCGGCTTCCAAGTCAGATAACAGTATTAAAAATGTGTATGAGTTACAGTACAATAACCTCCCTTTGTGAATTAACCACTTGTTCTTATGAAGCTTCCCTGATTAAATATGACCTGAAACCAAGAATACAATGAGAAACAAGTCCCAAAAATTTCCTGGACATTCCAGAGCTCCAGCTCCGAAGTCTGCTCTCCTCGCGTCTGCCGTCAGTTACAGTGGATCTCTGCCATGGAATTCTTTGCTCTCTTAAATTAAACCCTTCACCAGACCCAGCTGGTTCACAAAGCAGAGAGCGAGAGAGAATGAGAGGAGAGAAAGGCGGAGGAAAATGGAGGGGATGGAAAGGAGCGAGCAAATATTTCTCTCGCTTCTCATGTTTGGCTTTCTCCATTTGCTGCTATTAACACCTCATGTCTGGTCTGCACAAGCCCTTAGACACCAACTGGAGAGGAAAGAGTGAGAGGAAAGAGACAAGGATGGTTAAACCGACAGAGGAACGGTAACAGAAAAAGACTGTGCGCCGAAAATATTGTTTTGATTAATGTCTCTTGTATTCCTCTGGTCCCGAAACAGAGAATTACCTTACCTAACCCCAACGGAGAATGAGCAAGACGTTTCAGTGCAGAGATTGAAACCAGATATTTCTGTTCACACTGGCTCACATCCATCACTTGTTCTGGACTTGTGTTTGAGAACATGACTGGTGACTGAAAGTACTAGCCACACTGTCTGGCCAGTTTTAATCCAGCGTAAGTCTTCGGTTCAAATAGCTCTCCACAGGAGGCATGGCTGCCTGTCCTTCGTCACGTTTTCATTCCATTGAAAAACAAGATTCCCTCTTCTTTGCCGGAGAAGCTTTAAACTCATGTACCCACAGTGAAATCATTCTTAAACAAGCGACCGCAAATTAATCACCCACCATTGCTAGGCAATGCTCAATTATTCATAACCGCAGCACAGCAGATTTCACCTCAACAACCTGTTTGTGCACTTGCCACTTCACAGCTCAGAGCCAGGGGTCTTTTCTCAATGGAAACTGGCTAGTAAACAGTGTTTCTGTCGCATTTCTTTTTTTCAAGGTATCTAAATGGAGGAAACTTTGATGCACTGCTGTGCCGCATCACTTACCTTCCAGTTTACTTGGCCCCCAGTCCTCCCTCCTGTGTAGTATTGGGTTTCTGTGCCGTTTAGAGCACAGGCCTTCTTTGGGTTCTTTTGTCTAAGGTCCAAATGCAATTGGGGTTTCAAGTGGTCTCTCGAGCTTTTTATTACGACTCGAGAGTCACTGAGAAAATTCGGAGCTGTATTAATGTACAGAAGTCCTTCAGCTTGACAGTAATCAGCCAAATATTTGGAGCGGCACCAAAGAAAAATGATGATTTGATATCAGGGTAACGGTGCAGGCTTTCCAAGTGTGCAGACCATGACAGCAAACAGCAATGGTGTGGACTCCCGCTAATGCGTGAGCTAAGTCGGGTCTATTTGTGTGAGCTGACATGCTGTAATAGTAGTAGTCCAACAAAAGCCTGCTTGTTTGGACTCACAAGATGGTGTAAATATAGCTAAACAGAGGGCTTTTGTACAAAACTCAACCCTCCATCTCCCAAAGACACAATCAGTGGATGAATGCCAAACTGACAAAAGTCCAGATTTTGTTAGCGTGTCCTCTCTCTTTGAGCTCAAACATACACAACCTCCAGGGTAACTTTTTTAAAACTGTAAAGCATTGTATTTTGCTACGCTCCAGTGATGTCAGAATTACAGAAAACGAAGTGTTCCTTATTTTCTTTCTTCTCTAAACTTTGCCTCTGCCCAAGGCCTGCACTCATAGCCTCTCGCTCTCTCTCTCTCACACACACACACACACACACACACACACACACACACACACAGAAGTATTCTGTGTGTCTGGATTGTGTCTCATGATCTCAATCAGACAGTTGAGCTCAACCTGGCAGATGCTGGACAACCTTTAAAACCGCTGCCAGGTTGGGTTGTGCATGTGCGAGCACAGGTGGGCCAGATGATGGATGAATAAGCTAAAAACCTCCAGGGTCCTACCTGTCTTCAGTCTTTGGTCCCCACTAACATGCAAAAGCCTCCTCTTGCTGTAATCTCACACCTACAAACATGCCTCAGATTGGCCAGTGAGACAGTCCAGTGCTCTTAGTGTAAATGAACACATCAAACCAGACCTGTAACGCTTCCATTTTTATGCCAGTTCTTTTAAATTTCTGCTGTGCATTGCTCACTGATAAGCTCGAGACAAATGATTCCTCATGTCAGCCGAAGACACATTGGGAAAAGGAAAGCCCAGGATCAGAGAGATTTATATAAGAATTGATTACTTTGAGGTGTGGCTGGGGATGGTTTTGCAATCAAGGGGAATCAAGCTGAAAGCGTGGAAGGAGATGAATTATCACAAGGACACTCAGCTTAGCCTTTGGACTCATATTGCATGCTAAGTCTAGTTGCCAAACCCTTTGCAAGGCCGATGCCCACATTTGTTTTGACTCGGTCATGAAACTTTACTCTCCATCTTCCCCTCTGTCTCTCGCCGCACATTTCCCACCCTTTGTCAGTATCATTACCTGCACCCCGCGGCTTGCTGGACCGACACCAGACCTCCCGCCCTCCACTCTCGCCTTCTCTCCCCCTCCCCCTTACTCAACTCATTTCCCATGCTTACTCGTTCTCACCCCGAGATTATTTTTTGGCATACAAGCGTTGATGAAAATAAATTCTTTGGTCGACTAGCCCATTGGCAGCATCCAAATTTCGTCTGGTTTCGAAAACAGTCATTACGCCAACCTGTTTGTCTCTGATAAAAGAATTTGGTTAACTCACAGCTTCTTTTAATTCAACTCTGTGAAATACAGCTCTGACATTAATGTTCCTAACATGTTTTAAAACTTCCATTCCCATATGTTAACGCCAAGTAATAGGCATTTATCACTTTGGCAGTTGTCTGGAGATACTTAAGTTCGACATAATGCATCTAGATGTGAATAAAATTACACCATCTTGAGGGGGTTTTTTTCTTCTTCTTCTCTCTGTCTAAATTATAGCATGTTTTGTATCTTAAGAAATCTAACATATAAAGTTAAGATGGGATTTTATAATCTATTAAATTACCTTTTTTCCCAATGATTTAAAGCCACTAAATTCAAGCAATCTAAACCTTTGTCTGACTGTACTTTCCAGTGTTGAATTTTCTAAATGTGCTTTCTTAAGAGTCAGAGCTGAGGCAAAGCAGAATCTGTTTTCTGGAGTTTTTTTAATACTAAACTAGTCTCTTATGATCAATAGGCAGGTGGCGAGCATTTTTTCTTTTGCTCTTTCCCCACGTTCTTCTCACATTGTTTGTTCTTGTCAGCTTGCAGGAATATGGCTTTATTCATGTGTGAAGTGAAGCCAAAAAGATTAGTTTGGGGATTTAGGGCCTCAAAAAGTGCAGACTGCTCCATCCAGTGTTTAGAATTAAACATAACCAGATAGGGAACCAGTTTTTTTTTTAATGGTATTTCTCTCATGCGTTTTAGCCAGTTGGGGTCAGCTTTATCCCATGTACCCAAAGTAAAGTCCTTGGCTCTAAAAACATACACACAAGTGTTTTCAATCAGATCTAATTGGGCACACATGACATTATATCTTATGCCATGACATTTATTTTTTTACTGTATGGTGCGCTGTACTCACAGGTCTTGGAAAATGTTTGAGTTATGGCTTATTTTTCTTTAGGAGTAACTACTGCTGGGTAAACCACATCGAACTCATTATAGCCACATTGAAAGAAAACTGTGTGCTTTTCTTTAATTTGCTATCATCTACACACTTCAGTCCGTTTGTGAACTGTCACTTTTTTATCATCCAGGATATGGAAATCTAGGAGGTGGCGGCCTGGGGCCTGGAGGCTATGGAGGAGGTGAGCTGAAACTAGAACAGCTATGTGTATGTTAAACACAATGGGAAAAAACTCACTAACCTTTAACCTCTTGTGTCGCTTAGGTGGCTACGGGGGCTACTATCCGGGAGCTGGATCAAAGGCTGCTAAAAGCGGTAAAATGCAGGGCAGAAAATGTCTTGGTAGAAATGTAACATCGGCGGCTAATAAAAGAGTGATGGCGTCAGCGAACAATTTTTCCTTGATTTCTCATTGAGTGCAGTGGAAACTGGAGGTTCATCAGATATGATTATGGGATATTGGCTGTTGGAACGAGACACTGTTTATGTTTCAATTACTTGTTTTGATTATTGAAGCAATATTATGCTTCTTTCGAAATTCAGTCCTGATATCTGAGGTCTAAAAATGCCTCATGACTTTAAGGTCTGAAGTAACTTCCAGGATTACAATGAAACATCCCTGCAGAGGTGGAATGAGCTTGTCTGCCATGTGAAAGCTTGTTGTTAAACAGAAACATTGCCTCCCTCTTATGTCAAATCTGTTTTGGTTTGGATAATTGTAAACTGACATTACCGATGTCACTGTAATCTGTTCAGGTTCTGTTCACTAAACAAAAAAACAACACACATTCACAGATGAGGCTCCTGCATGGATCTGAAGTGCATCTGAAATTCTGGTTGTCCTGCTCACAGGTGCAGGAGGCAAGCTCACGTTTTGGCCCGTTGACAGACTACTGTACAGACCAGACTGACACTGACTGAAGCGTTTTGAACTCTGAAAGATCTGCATGCTCAAATGTTAGGAGAAAGCCAAAGTGAATGTTTCACATTAATGGTAACTCGGCATGGAAACACAGTTTGGCAAACATGCGTACATTTTTAGCATGTACTTGCAAACCTTAGACAGTGTGAACCTCAGCAGAGCCTGGCCTGACCTGAGAGTCTGTGCTGTATTCAGACACATGATTTGCCTTAAATTAGTACGGCTGATTAAAAATGAACTCAAGAGGGCTCAATCATGGCCAAGACTTGACTGTGGCACAGAGCCTACCGTTAAGTATTGATTGGCAATGGCAAAAATCAGTCCGTAGAATCAGTCTGTATTGTTTTCATGACACTGAAAATAACAGGTCCTTCCTCTGAAAGAGCACAGATAAAACAAAACATTCCCTTGCCAGAGTTTGCCTCACCAGTTCCCCCAGAACGCATACTTACAGGCAGTGCGCAATGTCTGTCCAATAAAGTGTGTGGACTCTAAGATAAAAAAAAATTAACCAAATAAACCATTGTGTTTTATCCAGCTGCCAAGCTCCCTTGCAAGTGAAGCTGACAGCTCATTTCCTGCAGGAGGGGTTAGCCAGCGAAATGAGGCATTTGATGAAGTGAGGAAAATGCCATGCATGCTGGCTGCCGTTTCTGATTAAAGCAAAAGTCAAAAGCCATGTTGCTTTTGGTCACGGGAGTGATGATAAACTGCAAGGCCCAGATTAGCTGCTCTCATTACCGCTGACCAGCAAGCGGACCTGCCACAAGTCACAAAGCGACTCATTGCTCATCTTTAGTGGCACAGGGCCCTCTAGTGGTGTTGGGATGTACAACTTTACAGTGGTACAAAGCATCTTATTGGTGTCAAAGACTAACGCTGAACTGAATGTGACTTCAAATGTATGTTTATGTCTGCATATGAACAGGGGTTGGAGGAGGAGGAGGAGGAGGAGGTCCTGGAGTCACTGGAACTGGACCTGGTGGAGGCAAGGCACACACCTAATATCATTTTCCACCTTTTCTAATTTTCTTCATTTTATTTTAGCTCTGATTTCTCGAGTAAAATTGAAAGCCAGTCTTACTTTTGTTAGGTACTCACTAGAATAGATTGTATATAGTACATTTTCTAATATATAATAGTAAGAAAGAAAGGAGTCAGCTGTGTGAAGGGGCAGAAATCCCAGTTTGGCCAGGATGTGTGTGTTCTGGACGCTGTGTCTTTTTTCACACTCCTTTAAGCAAAATAATATTATGGCTTCTTTTCTTTGTTTTTTTTTTCAGCACCTGTTATTCCTCAGACCGGCCTTCCTGGAGGTGGTGGCGCAGGAAAAAAAGCTGCCAAAGTGCCAGGTTTTGTAGACTCAACAATAAACTCAGAGTGAAGACAGACAGGATGCAGCCCACCAGGCAGTGCAGCCACATCAAAAATATTTTCCAACAAAACATATAAATCTGCAAAAAGAAAACAGAAAAGCTTATATGGACAGTAGTGTGCAAAAGTCTTGCGTTACCACTCGTTTCTTTATATTTTGCTAATAAAATGTGAAACATGTGCAGTAATTTATTAAAACATGTCCAAACATACTTGAAAATATAGGATATAGCGTAAAAACACAGAGAGCTTGAAAGTCAGTTGTGGTATGTCCAGCTTTATACTTTGGCACAGCCTGAACTCTTAGTCAAAATTTCTTGTAATTTCTTGTAATTTAAAAGTAACCTTCAGAAATAGTTCTGAAGGACATTCAGAGCTCTCCTCTGGATGTTGGCTCGCATTTGTTCCATTCTCTGTCAAGATGATCCCACACTGTTTAAATAATGTTGAGGTTTGGGCTCTGAGAAGCCAATCCATGACTGATAATACTTCATTGTTTGTTTTTCTATTCACATATGCTTCTCCTGCCTTAGTAGTAATTTGGGGATCACTGTCATGAAGCCAAATGAAGCCATTCCCAGTCAGACATTTTCCAGATGGTATTGCACAGTGGATCAAAATCAGACTCTTCTGCTTTGATAATTTCATAAGGTTTAACAAGATTCCCAACCCCACTGGCTGAAAAACAGCTCCAAACCTGTGTTCTCCTGACCTGAACCAAAAATGTCTTATTTTGAATTATTACTCCATATAAGACCAGCCCAGTTCTTGTGTAGTTTAGCATACGCCAGTCTTTTCTCAGTAAACATCATATCTCAAAAGATGTCATCAGACATGACTTCCAGTTGCTGTTCATCTGCTGTAGATAAAGTTTTAGGCCTGCTGGTTCTTTTTTTGTCTTCTTTGTCTTTGTCTTCCACTTGTCCAGTTTCCTCATTTTTTAAGGACACACTGCACACCATGCTGACATATGCCAAGTTTTCAGTTAATGGCTCTTTGAGAATCACTTAGTTGCTGTAAAAATACAAGTGTGTTGTCTTTAGAAATTTGTTTTTACATATTCAGCTAAAGAAATGGGAATGTATTAAGTGTTTCTGTGACGGGTGATAGTAACAAAGTCCCTAAAGATACATTTTAAAATTGATTGTTTGCTACACACTGCACTGATTCATTCATTGAATTAAGGACTTCTTTATGTTTGGGCGATTCATAGGTGATTAGGTGCTTTAAAAAACAAAAAACATTCCTCTGAAAACAGTCAGGTGCAACACGTGAACTGAAAATGAAAGACAGAGAAGTATTCCCTGCTTTAAAAAAATAACAAGAAAGCGCCTTAGAAGCCAAATACCGTTTAAAGACCTGATGGGAGGCTCAAGACTTTTGCACAGTGTTGTACATAAAAGCAAAGGATTATACTGAGTCTTGTCAAATGTCACCTTAGAAAACAGCAAATCAACATTCTTTCAAAAGAGAATTCCCCTGATAATATATTAAATGTAAAGGCATTTTTTACATTGCTGAAATAAATTTAGATGAAGGTGAGCTATCAGTGTAGACAGTATAATTCATTTAGTTATAGAGGTGAATTCAATTTGTATCAACCAGGCAAAGGCTCAATGTGTAAGCATTTTCCGCATCCCATTTGGCTTCTTTTTCTTTTTGTGGTTTTCGGACATTTAAATGTTCACCGTCAACACTGCTGTTGATCCCTCACATATATTTAAACATGGGTGTCTTCTCATTGGCTGTGGCAGGTGTGGGTATACCTGGCCTTTATCAAGGTGGACTGGTGCCTGGACAAGGTTTGACTCTTTCATATATTAATCTGGGGAACTTTTACTCCTTTGTTAGTTTCACCATGCAGACTGTCAGTCATTTAAAGATAACTGCAGGAATGTCTGGTTTCTTCTGGCTTCTTCAGGGTTTGGTGGACGTGGAGTTCTGCCTGGAGTGCCCACTGGGTCTCAACTCAATCCCAAATCAAGTAAGTTCAAGTTTTTACTCATGGGTGTCAGCTGATTTATTTTCAGTTTTATTTCATTGCCAGTGAATCCCAAAAATAGTAAATACCAGCTCTACACAGGCTTACACTACTGACAATCATTCACAGACAATATTAGTAGAGTTCCCAGTGTAAGACATACTAAACAAATGTAGATGAATAAGTAAAAGTGCTGGTGTGGGTCCAGAGAGTAATGCCGTAGCACTGTGATGCATGGTTCCAGTGTGCTTTGCTTCGTCGCTGCAGCTCTGTTTAATACTCACATGGAAAAAATCTTCATGTGTCTCACTGGAATATCTCATTTTTCTTATGTAGTTGCAGGAGGAGGAGGAGGAGGAGGACAGCAAGGTAACTTTATCAATGATTGTTTGTTATTATACAAGTAAATATTTCTGGGGGGGGAGGGGGTATCCACTCTGTCTGCTATTATCTAACCAAGATTAAAATGTTTTTCTTCTTCACAGGTGTCCGTGGGTATGGGGGACCAATGCAGCCAGGAGTGTTCCATGGATACCCCCTCAAATCACCCAAAGTGCAAGGTGTGACATGAAATTATTCAGTGTTTGCATTAATTCTTCTACAAGCATGTGGCGTAATATTAATTTTGTGGTTTAAACCCTGCTGATGTTAAATAACTTTAACATCAGCAGGATTATTATTATCATTTTGCAGACTGCAGTCTTACTTATCTTTTACATAACTGTACTCTAAGATTTTCTGTGGCAGGTTTAGCACTGTGTTATTCTAATGAGAGAAGAGTGTATTTGGGGTCTCACACAGATTGCTTTTGTTTTGTTCGTCTTTCTGAAACCGAACCTTTGTGTTCGGGAGCTCGAAAAAGTTGTTTCTGTTCATCTGGACGTAGCGTTTTCAGTTTGAGAAAGGCACTGGATGAGTGAAGAAACGTTTTTCCCACTGAAAACATACGATCAGGAGAAACAGAATCAACCTTTTGGGTTGATTGTGTTCTCCTGAACGTAGCGTTTGCATATGATGATGTGCGCACATATAAAATAATTCCAGCCTCTTTTTTTTCACTCTTTCTCTCTTTAGGTGCCTATGGAGCAAAAACTGCAGGTGGAAAACTTCCATATGGTAAAAATACATTTATTTTTTAACATCTTTGAAGTTTGGTTTCAGTGGAAATTCACCATTTAGTGATCGGCCTCGTATCCATGCATCAGGTTATGGCGGCTTTAATGTTGCACCTGGACTGCCAGGAGTGCAAGGTGGCCCCGGGTCGAAGCCAGGATATCCTGTTGGAACTGGTAAAAGTTTTCACAATTTGTTTCCCTACGAGATGTGGAGTAGAGATATAGAATTCACTTTTTTCCTTTTTTTGCAGGAGTGGGAGTCATTTCACCTGGTCAGGGTAAAGCTGTTCAGTGTAGTAGTTTACCATACTGATTGAAGTTAATGCTTCCTGTAAAATCAGTATGTCTGCATGTAACTGAACTTTCTGCATTCTGCTTCATGTTTAGGTGGTACTGGAGGCTTTGGAGCTGGTGGTGGTGGCTTTGGTGGCACTGGTGGGCTGTATCCAGGCCAGGTGTTAGGAGGTACGATATCTAGCACTTGGCAAGAAAGCAAATGCACACCAGCACACATGCAGACAAAAGTCACACAGCAGTCAAATGAACTGTAAGATGATGGGAAAAGTAAAGATTTATTTGCAGGCCAATGCCCTGAAATTGAAAAAATAATATTTGTGGGTTAGCTCCATATGATCATCTTTAACACTTTCATGCATGAATTGTGACAACCTCAATCAGGGTTTTCTCTTAAATATTTGTATTCATCTTTAGGCATGAAAAAAGATTTTTGAACTTAATTTTTTAAAAACATGTACTTTTCAAAGAGTTTGTTACATGTCGACTTAGGTGGACAACAGACATTTTGACTTATGAATTTGACACACGAATAAATAATACACACTGTGTAAAAACTATAAAAAGACATATTTTTTATAAAAAGATGAAAATAACAACAGATATATATATATATATATATAAACTATAACAAATATAATATGGACTGAGACATAAGTGTCCAATGTGCAAGTGTACCATCAACACTGACACAAATACAAGAAAACAGCCTTTGAATAGCTGTCCACTATAGTGACCACTATGCATGAAAGGGTTAACTAACTAGCACAAATATTTCACACCATACCTTACACCTTGTTTTATTTTGTGCTTTTAAAAAAAAAAAATGTTCTTCAGTTACTAAACTTTTATCATATGACTCACTATCGTTATGTTGACGACAGGGTATGGAGCTGCTAAGGCTGCCAAATATGGTGAGAATGTTTATTTTTTTTCCTTATCTGGAAAAAAAATACTTTTAATCATTTTTCATACTTTTTTCATGCATTTCTTCAGTAGAGTGAGAAAAATATAACTTAACTAATATAAAATTATGTTACATTACATGGAAAAATTATTTACATGGACAAATTACACATATGCTTTTGTCAGGAGTTCCAGGAGGTGTACCTGGGGGAGTACCAGGAGGTGTACCTGGGGGAGTACCAGGAGGTGTTCCTGGGTTAGTACCAGGAGGTGTACCTGGGGGAGTACCAGGAGGTGTTCCTGGGTTAGTACCAGGAGGTGCACCGATTGGAAGAATTCCAGCGGTTGGTGGATATTTACCAGCAGCAAAAGCTGCTAAGTATGGTATGCTTTATTATTTGTGGAACTGTTACAAAGAAAACTAACTAACTAACTAATGACATTTTCAGTGGAATAACAGAAAAATTCTTCAAAAATATTTCTGTCTCACTGACTTCTAAGACCATGATTTTCAATCTACATTTATCACCAAATTGAAGGAAAAAATGATGGCAAAATATTTGTGGGGTGGGATCTGGCTCAAGTAGAGCTCAAGTAGAGCTAGATCAATGGAAAAATAGAAATAAGGGGACAAGCACAAATAGGAGAACACTATCCTTTTAGCAAAGCTGAAAGCTGCTAAATGTCGTATGCTTTATTAATTGAATTTTACTATTTATTTTGTGAACTTTTTAAACATTATATCAAACTGTAACCTGTAAATGTACTTCTTTTTTTTAAAAGTGCATAATTGTTTTCCTATTTAAATTAGGAACGGGAGGACAAATAGGCACAGGAGGGCAAATAGGCACAGGAGGGCAACTAGGAACAGGACAACTAGGAACAGGACAACTAGGAACAGGGCAACTTGGAACAGGAGGGCAACTAGGCACAGGAGGAGGATATTATCCTGCAAGCAAAGCTGCCAAATACGGTATTATTAATAATTGTTTTAATTTGTATTGTGACTTTCCGACATCATGCCAAATTTGTAACTTCTAAAGGCACTTATATTTTGTCTTTTTTTTTCTTCTTTTTTTTCAATTTAACTGCATGTGGGACAGGGGGACAACTAGGAACGGGACAACTAGGAACGGGACAACTAGGAACGGGACAACTAGGAACGGGACAACTAGGAACAGGGCAACTAGGAACAGGGCAACTAGGAACAGGGCAACTAGGAACTGGAGGAGGATATTATCCTGCAAGCAAAGCTGCTAAATACGGTATTATTAATAATTGTGTTAATTTTTATTGTTAATTTTTTAACATCATATCAAAAATTTAACTTCTAAAGGTATTAAAAATGTGTTGTTGTTGTTTTTTTCAATTTAACTGCATGTGGGACAGGAGGGCAACTAGGAACGGGACAACTAGGAACGGGACAACTAGGAACGGGACAACTAGGAACGGGACAACTAGGAACGGGACAACTAGGAACGGGGCAACTAGGAACGGGGCAACTAGGAACGGGGCAACTAGGAACAGGACAACTAGGAACAGGACAACTAGGAACAGGACAACTAGGAACTGGAGGAGGATATTATCCTGCAAGCAAAGCTGCTAAATACGGTATTATTAATAATTGTGTTCATTTTTATTGTGAATTTTTTAACATCATATCAAAAATTTAACTTCTAAAGGTATTAAAAATGTGTCTTTTTTTCAATTTAACTGCATGTGGGACAGGAGGGCAACTAGGAACAGGAGGGCAACTAGGAACAGGAGGGCAACTAGGAACAGGGCAACTAGGAACAGGACAACTAGGAACAGGGGGAGGATATTATCCTGCAAGCAAAGCTGCCAAATACGGTATTCTTAATAATTGTTTTAATTTTTATTGTTAATTTTTTAACATCATGCCAAAGCTGTAACTTCTAAAGGTATTAAAAATGTGTCTTTTTTCAATTTAACTGCATGTGGGACAGGGGGACAACTTGGAACAGGAGGGCAACTTGGAACAGGGGGACAACTTGGAACAGGAGGGCAACTTGGAACAGGAGGGCAACTTGGAACAGGAGGGCAACTTGGAACAGGAGGGCAACTTGGAACAGGAGGGCAACTTGGAATAGGAGGAGCATATTATGCTGCAAGCAAAGCTGCCAAATACGGTATGCTCTTAACTGTATTATTGTCTGCATGTTTTTAGCCCATCGGGTCGAAGGATTCCCATCAAGTTCTAGCAACAATGATTTTGCCGTTTCATGCACAGTTTTCTAGTGTCACAAGAATCACTGGTCCTCCTAGAGTATTGGTCAACGAAACAAATTTGAATTGACTGTTTCTGAGCCTCCATACTTCTCACTGGATTTTAATTATCTTTGGTTTGTGCAGTATAGCCAACCAATGATAACAAAACTGACATCTTGGTTTAACATTATCTCAAGCGGTATTCTAAAAAAAGCTACTCATGTCTTCAAAAGTAAATATTTTGTCTCTATTTAACCCCTCAGGCAACAACTCCATCAAATATTGCCAATATAACTTCAATCTGAACAAAAAGGCAAATAAGAAAGCAAATAACAGCTATAAAATAACGAGTGACTGACAGAGATGTTACTGAACCATCTTTAAAAGTTCTCAAATACAACTCAGAAAATTCATGATTTACGATATTAAGTGAAGGAGTAGCAAGACTGAGAAAAAAATGTTAGTGACCAAGAGGCTGCAGTTGGAGGGAATTTACCATTTAAGCCACTATAAAAGTATTTTCCAGCTTCTGATGGCTGTTTGGAAGCCTCAGACTCCACCACAGTCTGTTCCAAGTGATACATTTGGATTTGGGTTTTTTTTAAAACCTATTTGAAACTGAGACTTTTTAAAGATTTCTTTAATTAATAATTAATTTTATAATTTTTAACTTTAATCTTTAACAATACAGTTTTATTCCACAACAAAAACAAGTATTAGTAAGACTCTTTTCCGCTGGGAAGTGACATGGCGGTCCTGCCATTTCCTTCGGATCTTTTCCTCTCTCCGGTCACGTTTGACCTCATCTAGCATCTGCTCCTCTTCCTGGAAAAAAGACAGACAGCATATTATGCTGCAAGCAATTTGTCGTGGAAGTTTCCATTTAATAAAGCCTGCAGAGAAACGGTGAGCGGTGGCTGACAACCTTTAATCAAAAAAGAACAGGCTTGGTGAGAGAAGCCATCCTTGCTGACGGTTGGCAGAGTCTCTCCCTGAAGCCAGCAGGGCCCTGAGTTTAAATACCATCATATCATTTAAATAAATGGAAAAAAAGAAAAACAATTCCAGACCAAATAATTATATTTTTCCTTAAAGGTCAAGGTGGTGGAGGGTTTATTCCAGGTGTTCGTGGAGGTGGTGGTGGATTTTTACCAGGATATGGATGTAAGCTTGCCACGTGGACATAATATTTTTAGATATTTCAAGGATTCAATTATATTTTTCAATCTTATTCACTTTGTCCTGATATCTTACCTTTTGTCCTTACTTTGGTGCAGCTTTGGCAGCCAAACCTCCTAAATATGGTGAGACTTTGATATTTACAGTTTGGTACCTCATAATATTTGCCAAACGTATTCCACCTATACAAGTCTATCAACATATTAATACATAAATCCAGTGATACAGTTTTAAAGGTTGTGCCTTTAATGCAATATTGGATTTATTTTGGTCTGTTAAAGCTGTGCTGACACATTTTATAGGAGTGCCAGGAGCAGGCCTAGGAGGAGGGGTTGTCCCAGGGGGAGGAGGGGTTGTCCCAGGAGGAGGAGGGGTTGTCCCAGGAGGAGGAGGGGTTGTCCCAGGGGGAGCAGGACAGGTAGTCCCTGGTGGTGGATTGGGTGGTAAGTCGCTAAAGGTTTGTTTGTTTGTTTTTAAAGAACTTCTTCTCTGTCGTTTGTGATAATTCAGATGCAAACTTTGTTTGGTTTCTTACAGGTTTTGGAGGTGGTGCTGGAGTCAAACCACCAAAGTATGGTAAGGCTTTTGTTTTGATTACACTCTAATATGATGAAAATGACACCAATGCAATATGGAGAGAAATACTAAACTGTATTAGCAGCAGTATGTGGCTCACACTCCCCTGCTGCAAAAACTTCTAAATAAGGAAGCAGAAATAAGTATAAAACTGCATAAATCCTGCACGTTGAGAAATATTTCCTCGGCCATGAATGTATTCTTACTCATTAATCTAACTTCACTTTAGATTTTAATACTTGTGAACTAATTGTACCACCTGCACTAATGTAGGAGTTCCTGGAGGAGTCGGAACAGGGCTAGGACCTGGAGGAGTTCCTATTGGAGGATCAGGAGTTGCAGGTGGACCGTACTCCCCCGCCGCAAAAGCTGCTAAATACGGTAAGGTGAAACGACCACACAAGCATATAAGTGCTGCAAAATATTAGACACATTTCCTTGATGATTCTGAGAGAAAGAGTACAGTTTTCTGTCACTTAAGGAATTTTTCACTTAATCGTTTCTATAAATTTTTATATTGTCTTAGTTGCAAATTAATGATGCAGCTGGTTCTGGTTCTTTTAATTAGGAGTTGGAACTGGAGGTCTACCTGGAGGTACTGCATGAAAACACCAAATAGCCATTGAATGTGATTATAGAATTCAAGTAACATCAAACAATGTCATGATATGAGTATTAATGACAATGTGTTTTTACACAGGAGTTCCAGTTGGAGCAAAAGCACCAAAATACGGTAAGGAGAACCTCAAAACTAATATAAAAAGCTACATTGTTTTATAATAAAGATGCAAAGATGCAGAAGTTGGTTAAAAGATAAAATACCGAATCACAGCCAATTACAGTCAACTGGAGTAAAGCTTTATCCACCAATGACATCAGGTATCAGGGTCCATGTCATGATGGGAAACAAGTTAGGGTTCTGGCAAATTATAGACGGAATTTGGATGAATTTAAAATGTTGTATCATTGCAGTAGTTCCAGGAGTGACTCCATACACACCTGTCAGTTTTCCAAATGGCTCTGTTGTACCTGGTCAATTAGTTCCTGGAAAACCAGGTAAAGCTTAGAGTACAGCTTCTTGTTTGTTTGTTTGTTTGTTTGCACCTTTTCATAGTTGTAAATTTTAAATGATCTATTATTGCTTCCACAGCAAAGGATGTCAGTGGAACTCCTCGGCCAGGTATGGTGAAATGTCCCAGCTGATTACATACTGTATGAAAGGAGGATTTGTCTGCCACAGTTAGAGTATTTCTATAATACAGCAAATGTAAAAAGTTAACAGCAAACTGAAGGGACTTGTGGATTTTCATTTTTAAGCCTCAGAAGCTTATTGGGAGCTTCAGCACACTGCTTGCATGACTTTAGCAATAAAACACACACACGGCTCACCTGCCACGCCATTTTTTTCTTGTTTTTGACAGTTGCTCTCTACTTAGTGGTAAACGTATTTGCCCCTTCACTCCTTTTCTGCCCACACAATTTCCCAGTTTTAATAATATTGCTACAAGCCGTTGACCACCTGCAGCTTTGCAGCCTCCAAGCTGTGGCAGTGCTTTGGTCCACTTCACAGCTTCTGCCTTTTCTCGTGCCCGTGGAATTCACGCTGGATCAAACTGGTACTTGTCATCTTTTTGGCAGAGCCCACTGATATTGCCACAACTGGCAAGACCCCAGAGGTCCCAGATCCCAGTAAGGCTCGGTTTGCTTGAAGTCTTTGACCATAAATTAAAATATAAGGCATTTATTTGATGTTTGCAGTTGTAGTTGAGTTTTGATCTAATATATATATTTATCTATTCAGTATTCGAGAATGTGATTTTTTTTTAACTTCATTTCATCACTGCATTCAAAAACATCATTTTTAATTGGAGTCGTTGAGATGATTTGGACCCTTTTTGCTTCTGTCTTGATAATTACTATTTATTTAAATCAAATTATTACATCAAGAAATTATGCCTTATGAGAGTATTTATAATTTATACAAAGCTAAATTAAATTTTCCAAGATCTAGAGAGTTCACTTTCTCAAATACTGTTTGGAAATACTATAGAAATGTCTCATGAGCATGCATTAGCTGTAGTAAGTAGCACTCCACTTCTTTTTGGGACTGTAAAGAATGGGAACCAATTACCTTTTTTACAGTATTATATATATACTCTGCTAAAGGGAAGCAGCATTATGTACTCTGTCAAATACGTGAGAGAGCTGTCTCACATATAGTGCCTGGACACTGTGCTTCACAAAGTCCTGAAAGAAAAGTCGTTTTAAAGCAGACCTATCATGCTTGCTTCAAGCTCCAGAGTTTTATTCTTGGACTATATAGAGTAGTTTTGAATCATAGCTCAAAATTATTCTTTGTTACCTTAGTTAAGCATTAGTGCACCTCAGTTTTAGCTATTCTTCCTTTGAGCCGACCTTCTTCTGATTGGCTGCCCCTCACTAAAAGAAGACTTCAGCAGCAGGTGGGTGGAGCTTCTATGCAGACAGCCAGAGCTGCGTGTCTGATATGATGTCCCTCTTTGACATCATACAGATCCAAGAGTAGGAAAACTGTCTGAAACTGAGTATCTAGAGCACAATGAAGGCTTTTGGTTTAGGCTTATTCAGTTTTATAGGGATTAAGAGTTTATGTTTAATATATCCAACAGTATTCACATCACCAAAATAAATAAGTGAACTCATAAAAATAAAAAGAACGGCAGCATAATAGGTCCACTTTAACCTGTCTTGCCTCTTCAACTTCCTGTTAGTGTTGCATAATTTGGGGCTGCTTTTTTTTCTCTTTCTCTAGCACTCAACTTGTGCACTCCTTTACTTTTTACCTCGTAGCTTGCTGTGCTTGATGCATTGCTTTCATTATAGCGTCATAACTGCAATTTGTGTACTATTCACTGCATTAGTCCTTTAGAGGGAACGGGTAGATTAATGGGTAGCGATCTTTTCTGTTTTAATTCCTCATATTCTCCACAGAGGTTTGTTTAGGAACATGACTACTTGTGCACATAGTTTGACAGACAGTTTTTTGTGATATTTACACAGTTTAAGTTTGTAAAATCACTGCACTTAAAGTCCTTTATTATTAAATAAACACTGAATAAACTGAAAAGCAGCTACTTTACACTTTTTATTAGATTAGTTGTTTCGTAGTTGCATGAAATCCTAGAAGATTGTCTTTTATTTATTTCCTTGCATTCCCAAATCCAATTAATGGAAACCATTGATTTTGTTGATATTAGTTGGGCTCATCTGAAAGGACAAAAAAGTAAAAGGCACTTTTCTAACTTTTTTTCTTTCTTTTTTCTTTACTCTCATGGTGGATGGGTGAACACAGGTGGTAAGTTGGAAACAAACATGCAGGTTTTTGCTTCATTTGATTCTCATGTGTGTCTGTTTGTTTTAATAAATGTTATTTCTGACTCCTCTGACAGTTTCTGGTGGAATTGTTCAGCCTAGTGGTAAGTAGTTCACATTAATCCTGTATATCCTTGTTAACAGGGAAAGTATGCTTACTGTGCTTATCTAAACATTATTATACTTTTTCTTTTTCTTTTTCTTTTTTTTACTTTACAGCTGGCACAGGTGTTGGTAAATATGTCAAAATCCTCTCATATTGAAATATACCGAAAATACTCAGAGGTTCATGATTTGGGCTTCATTCAAACATTAAACGTGACAAAACTTTTACTTTTGTGTTTCCCGTGTGACAGTTGGAACGGGAGTTGATGCTCCCGCTGGTGGTAAGAACAGTTTTTCTTTTTCCTTTCTATACGTATTCAACATGTGCCATTAAGCCACTTATTTCAATGGATCTTTTAACAAAAGCTTGTAGCTTCTGTTAATCTGTAAAGTCTATGACAGGGGTGTCAAACACAAGGCCAGGGGGCCAGAATTGGCCGAATCCGGCCAACTGGACAGCTTTAGAGGAGGGCATCAATTTTGTTCTTTTAACTGTATTTTCAGTTGAAACATTGTGGTTTATACGTAAGGGACAGTTTGGACAATGAGCTACCAGAACTTTCTTTGTAATCTCCTTACAGTGTCACACTGTCAGATTTATTTCATTTACTACAACAGCATTTGTTTATATTATAACAATATTTATTTCTTATCTCTGGGATTAAATATGCACTTAAACTTCTTTACACTAACAGCATGAGCTTTATGTAGCCCTTAAAGTGAAATGAGTTTGGCATACCGGCCCTGTTACATTTATTATTACTGAAATTACATTACTTGTCATTTTGACATATTTTAATGAATGTAACC